CTCTTCTTCCCTTTATTCCTCCTGAGTGCTTTAAGCTCTGTGGCTCCACCAGAGCATTCCTAAGGCTTGTTTCAACAAGGCTTTCAGAATATCAGCTTTGAGTATTCTTGTATAGGTTTTGCATATGTTTATGTAATATGTGTAGCTTACATTTGTGATTTTCAGAGGTCTTCCATTTATTGAAAAGACCTTATTCTTAGGAATCATATGAAAGGCAGAAAGAAATAGTAGGTTAGGGTTTACTGTACCCTCGTGCAGTTAAATTTATTTTAGGCTGTGATCACTGAATACTACTGGACCTTATATATGGATATTCCTGTATCATCAACTTTGGGGAAATTGAGTTGCACCAGAGTTACCAACTTAATTATATACTGTTAAAATTTAACTATCACCTGGATTTAAATATTTATTAAGCTAACATACATTATATTCTCCTCCCCATAGGAAAACCTATTGGGAAACCACACTTGTGTTATAAGGTTCTTTAGTGATATTGAACAGGAATGGAAAGGGTGAATTTTTTTTAAGTTTAATAGTAATTCATGTTTGCCTTGGGGGGGGGTGGTGAGAGACAATTTCAAATGGCATAGAAAGAAATAAAGAAGCAAGTTAAACTCATCTATTACCCTTACTACCCAGAGGTACAAACTGTGTTTACTAGATATCCTTTCAAACTTCATGGTTATCCTAAGTTTTTAAAATCTGACTATATGAATCTTTTTGTAACATTTTGTTTTTATTTATCAATATGGACGTGTTTCTTTGGTAATAGAGATCTACATCACTGTCCTTACTGGCTACATAGTGTTCTTTTGCATGGATATATTTTCTAATTTTACTTAATTAGATTCACATAGCTTTTAAAAGATTTTTTTTTCACAACTTGATTATAGTTTTCAACTGTGGGAAAATAGCTTCAGGTATGTTGGAATAGAGCTCTTTCCTCCTTTTTGGATTTAACTGTAGGTTAAGTATTCACATTAAAATTTGTGTCTCATTAATTAACCTATCTTGTTAGTTTTACCTTGACTTTCTTGGCCTTTGTGATTCATCTCACATATGGTGATTATCTGCCAACACTCTGCCTATTCACTATGGATGCAAATGTGTGACATTTTGAAGAACATTAATGTGCTGAACCTTCAATTTGGCATCATACATGGGGCATATGAGTTTTATCAATAGGAAGCCTGTGTTGAAATCCATGATCTATCACTTTACTAATTAAGTGATCTGAGTCCAGTCGTGTAAGAACTGGTTCTCACTTTCTTGTCTGAAAGCCGGCCTCTTAGGGTTTTAATAATTGAAAGAGATAATGTTATATAGTCTATAAACAGTATTTGGCACAATGTGAGTACCTGGTAAATACTGACTCAGGAAATAAAGGGAGGTGTGGAGAATGTAGATCAGCAACCTGGAAAAGATTTCTGAAACATCTGTCAGGCTTAAAAGGTGTGTAGCTTCTCAGTCTTTTTTTTTCTTTTTAAGCTTCTGTCATACTGTGACCATAATGATATAATTTATAACTGCTTGAAAAATTGTAGGAATATGAATTTTTGTTTTCCTAAAGTTTTAATAATGTTTGACACTTAAGAAGGCGTTTTTTAGTAAGGTTCATTTCAAAAGACTGGTATGATTTAAGCCCTTCTCCCCTTAAAAAAATCTAGAACTAAAAAGGAAGGAGTTATTTTAAAATTTATATTTGGCACAGATAATACAGCAATAAAATCTCATTAATACAGATCCACTGATTGGGAATTTGAATGCAGGACTGATTGTGTATCTTTGTACTGACTGTGTGTTAGTTTCTGAAGGGGAAGGAAAAATCATTTATCTAATGCCCTGATTACTGATGATAAAACTGAGGTCCAGAGAAGTTGGGAGCCTCATCCAGAGTTTTACAGTTGCAGAGTCAGTACTAGGTTATGGGTCTGTTGAATCCTAGAGCCACTGGAAATTTCTTCTACCATATCTATATAGAAATTATAGACCAGTTATAAATAATTCTTATCTAGTCATTGAAACTGTCCAGACAATAACTCATATGTTAGGTAATTAGGTTAGTCATGTATGTTGTACATCTCAAGTCTGAAGGCATTTCTTTTATCATCAGGTCTTATTGAATAGTTTTTAATGATGGTAAGGAATAGAGAAGATATCTGCATTTATTTTAATTTATTACCAGTAGTGATTTCAAAGGTTAATAAATGTTTTGGAGCACTTAGAGAACCATACATTTTTAAAGGCAGCATTTGTTCATGTAAAAATTTGAGGTGTGCTTTACTTTGCTGCTGCTTCTAGGTTGTCGACTTTTTGTTCTGCATTAGTGAAATCTTAGATAAGTTTGAAAATCCTTTTCCACGTGGCTTCTAAAGTAACATGTTTATAACAGCAGTATGATTTATTAACTTGCAAGTTAATCATGAGGTTGAAATTTTCTTTTCTTTTTCTTTATATTTAACACCTCGCTAAGAATGGTGATAGTGACTGCGATGGTCATAACAACAACAAATAACAGCCCTGACATTTACTAAGAATTTATTATATGCTGTGCACTGTATTAAATGCAGTATATTCGTTATCTTATTAAAGAAAAATTTTGTTAATTTTCTCACTTAATCCTCATAGTATCTCAATAGGATCATTCCTGTTTGCATAGAATATGTAGAATATAGAATGTGTATTCTATAGATACAGAAACTGAGGTACAGAGAGATTTAGTGACTTGCTTGAGGTCACATAGCGAGTAAGTTATGGAGCCAGTTGTTGAATGTAGGTGACCCAACACCAGACTCTAAGTGCTTTGTTTGGAGCAGCGGGGAGCCTCACAGGAAGGAATTACTTTACCAAGAGCAATCTTTATCATTGCTTCCCCCACCCTCTCAGGTACCCTGTTTAAATAAACAAACAAAACTACATTAATTAGGAGAACCCTTGCTAGCAGAGACTTATAATGAGACCTGCATCTACGTTTTCTAGATCTACCCATTCTTTAGGACCCAGCTCAACTTCTATCTTTTTCACAGTCTTTAAAAGTTTCCTCCAGTTTTTTTCTTCTTCTGAATTCTCATGATGGTGCAACAGTTATTTTATAATTTTTTTGTCATTGTTTTTACATGTCACTGTCTTCCTAGAATTGTAGTGTATTAGAGTTGGACAGGGCCTTAAAGAAAAGTCCACATCCCCGTTTTCAGGTTTTTAATTCATTTTACTAGGTTGAGTTTCTTGAAAGGTATCAGCTCAGTAAATGTTTGCTAACTGTCACAAAACTATTAGCATCGCTTGCTGTCTCTTTATTCAATATGACGTTATTCATGATGTCATTTGAATAGCATAGATACACTGCTTCAAGTTCTGGTTATTTCTCAGTTGTGCTACTATATTGGTACAATAGTAGGATCTAGTTGAATAGAACAAAACTAAGGTAGATGTTTTAGGCAGGGTTGGAACGAACTTGAGATAGGGGAAAATGTGAATAAAGAATTGAAATTAGAGGTTGAACACAAAACTGTAAATCATAAAATGTTAAATTAATAGCACTTAGGGGCGCCTGGGTGGCTCAGATGGTTAAGCGTCTGCCTTCGGCTCGGGTCATGATCCCGGGGTCCTGGGATCGAGCCCCGCGTTGGGCTCCCTGCTTGGCGGGGAGCCTGCACCTCCCTCTCCTTCTACTGCTCCCCCTGCTTGTGCTCTCTCACTCTCTCTGTCAAATAAATAAAATCTTTAAAAGAAATAGCATTTAAATCAAATCATAGGAGAATAGAATAAGTGTATACTAAACATAATAAATGTTGAGCCCCTGTTGTGTGTCAGACACTCCAACATTTTACATTTCACATACATAGTTTTCCCCGCGGAAGTACCCCTAACAGTAAAGGAAAGTTACATACCTTAGAGAACCTCAAGGCCAGAGCAGCCCCTGGAAATGTGGTTTTTCTTTGTTACCTTTTTTATCTTAAAAATTAACAGGTATTTAAGATTGTACTCAAGAATATGCCCATACTTATGTTACTATAAGGATACTAACCTCCCCCAGTTCCCCAGTTGTTCACAATCCAGAGAGAGACAAATTACGTTTAGCCTGTGAATTCAAGAACCCTTTGGCACACTGCAGAATTCTTTGTGTGTTGTACATAACCTGACCTTAAGACCGCAGGCCTATGGATATTTGATCACCACAGAGGCTCTGTGATCATAGGCCAAGAGCAAACTTGCTAAGTTTGGCTTTGTCTGATTCCTTACTATTAAACATTATATAAACAGTGTAACAAATTTAGTTCTTCTCGTTTTCTTTGACACCTACATTTTTATAGCATTTTATTTATCTACTCTCAAAGAGAAGTAGCTTTTCAGGTAATCTAAAGGCTGTTTCCCTTTGTCTTTGGCTTTGTAGGAAATTTTTGTTTTAATGATAGCCAGGTTAGGTTACAGTTTCATTATGTTTCTCGAAGAGAGGTCTCTTAAAAGCAGAGCTGTAGAACTCCTATGTGTAGTTTTTCATAGTTTTATTGCTTAACATTTTTTTGAATTAGTGGTTTTTCTGCAAATAAATATGTTTTTACATCATTGAAGTATCATTTCAGTGAGTGTGTGTTGAGATTTTTTTATATTATTTGTATTTATATCATGCAATGAACAAAGTTGGAAGCCCTCAAGATGATTTTTAAGAAAATTGTTTTGGATTAGAAGTCTGCTATAATGGGCTTGAGAGATTGAACAATCTTGTATATTGTATAGCCAGACTGATTTGGACATGAAGGAAACAGATTTGCATGAGGGAAATTTATGGTAAATAGATGCAGGTCTGATTCTAATTTACAGTTTAGAATGGGTTTAAAATGCAGCTTACGAAGTTAATCTTTCTGTAACACTTCAGGTTTTGGTTTTACCTTAGAGACCTTTTTTTTTTTTTTGTAGGTGGAGCAAATATAAATGTGCCAAATCGAAATGGATAAAATAATGTTCTAATTTCAGATTTCTCCTTTTCTAATTTTTAGTGGTTGACCTCCTCTACTGGAGAGACATGAAGAAGACGGGAGTAGTGTTTGGCGCCAGCTTATTCCTGCTGCTCTCACTGACAGTATTCAGCATTGTGAGTGTAACGGCCTACATTGTCTTGGCCCTGCTCTCTGTGACTATCAGCTTTAGGATATATAAGGGTGTGATCCAAGCTATCCAGAAATCAGATGAAGGCCACCCATTCAGGTGAGATGTCTGGAAAACAAGGCACACACTGGCAACACCATAAACAGGATTAGTATTAAGACTTCATTCTATAGAGTTACAGGCATGCATTTTTTTACTGCTTAAAGATAATTGCAGATTTTTGCTGAAAAGTTATACCAAAAGCATCTGCTTTTGAGATTTTTTAGATTAAAGGTAATTTCATGGGCTCATGATGGAAAAATACTGGGTTTGTGTGTCATTAGCCTAACTCGGCTATGTGTTAGTAATATTTATGGAAACTAGGTATTGGTTATCTAATTTTACTTTAATGGGAACTATATCTTTTTAACATGGTTAGGATTGGTGAAAGTTCTGTTTTCTTTATTGCTTACTTTTTATGCTGATGTTTAAATACCTTTCTTAACACTAGAATGTGCATGTTTTTCTATAACGCTATCTTGTCATGCCCATGTGTTCTCTTGCCCTTCCTTCTCTGTCTAGTTTCCTCCTCTTGTTCCCTGAGGCGTACTTTTGTATTGTCTTGTTATCCTTTGATGAGTGTCTGTATGGCCACTCCTCATCTCGGAAACGATCATCTGCCCTTAACTTTTTTTTTTTTTTTAAAGGTTTTATTTATTTGACAGAAAGACAGCCAGAGAGGGAACACAAGCAGGGGGAGTGGGAGAGGGAGAAGC